AAACTGCTCGAATCAAGTCGAAGCCCTGGATGTTCCGACTGCCTTTCAAGGTCTATGGAGCGGTAATAGCATAAAAAGTTGAATTAAGAAAAAATTTGAGATTTTCTGTAAAAATCATCACCCCACATGCCATATAAAGTATCAAAGGATAAATTATGCTCCTTGTAACAAATCAACTATGACAAACAAGCTTCTTTCAACCAATTTGGAATGATTTCTATGACGGATTAAATCTCAGCTCACGCGTTAACAGCGCGAAACAAATCGCCGTTAATTGTTCCAAATTGACCAAAATGGTAATCTTTAAACCCCCATAACTTTACAAAAAATGATCACAGGTAAAATATCTTTTGAAATTTAAGCTCAGGACAACAAAACCTTTTGAATGATATTTAAAAATTCCGTCAAAAATGGCTAGTTAAAAAGTCGAAATTTGTCTGAAGAAAAGAAACCCACCTCGAGCACAAATGTTCCGTTCCTTTCGTTACAAAAATTGGAACAACTACACTGCTAGAATCAAAGTAACGACTACTATTTTTTAGACTGCCTCATAAGGAAAAAAATGTTGATAAAATCATTTAAAAATTCAAAAATGACTAATTCAAAATAAAAAAATTTGAAAGTTTTTTAGTTGCCACCACTTTTTATGTAAGCCAAATTGTTTGCGTTTAGCCAAATTGCTTGCCTCAATTCAATTGGGAATGATTTCTAGGTCGGATTTTATATTTGAAAAACTCAGATTTAAAATAGCTAGTTTACAAGTCAAACAACCACAGCACAAATATTCTAACTTTTCTTCGAAGTCCAGAAAAAAAAGCGGACCTTCACAAAGTTGAAGAAGCGGATCTTACATCTGTTATCGTCGATAAACTAATAAAAAAGAACTCAACTTAGAAAATGAAAGCAGTAATGCACGGTTAGAAAAATCGAATGACGAAACTTGAACCTCGAATCAATTTATACATAAAGCGAAGTGGAGCGTCGCGCCACTTGCGACACAACACAAACATAACAAAAATGAGAAGTCGAAAAAAAGAAAAAATGAAAGTTGGGTGACCAAAACTTTTGTAGTCTCGATAAAAGACAACTAGGGGCGCAGCTGAAGCTAGAAGTACTTGTTTGATGCTTTCTAAAAATTGTTTACTAATGTCAGACGAAATCCCTAATGTTAAATATTGGAACTTGCCATTAATCTTAGTTGCTTCTCTACTAAGATAAACGAGAAGAGTAAAAAAATTGAAAAAAGGAAATTTCCCAAAGACAAAACATTTTTTTTACAAAAATTCAAGGAATCGCCGCCTCTGAAGGACAAATTCTCGCAACCGGTTCTTTCGATTGATTTTTTCATCTCAGTTATTGTTCGGTAGTTTTTCAGAAAATTCAAAAAATTTATAGAAAAAGAGCAAAAGTTGAACAATTTGATTTTCCGAAAACCAAACTTTTTTCTACAAAAAGGAGCTCGTGGCCTGTAAAGTAGAGAAGATTCCCAAAACCATGTTTCTCGATTGAACACTTAACTTGAGAATTGGCGCGGTAGTTTTCGAGTAAAGCCTTAAAGTTTTCAAACGTTTGTTGAAGGTTGTAACTTTTTTCTTTAAAAAAGTGCGGTGTAGCCAATTATAGCGGTAAATTTTCAAAAGTCTGTTGTTTTGCTTAAACCTAAGTTGTCACATTTGACGTAATAGTTGTCAAGAAAAGTTGAACACGCGGTCAAAAAAAACAAAAAGGTGACATTTCAGAGAATCATACCTTTTTGTGTAAGCAAGAAGAGTGAAAATTTTGGAAATAATGGATATTTCCCAAAAACAAAACATTATTTTATAAAATTTTCAGGAATCTTGATTTCAATTTCTCAGAAATCTGAAAAATCAAAAAGATTCAAAAAGCGGTAAAAAAACTGACTATTCCGAGGTCCATAATTTTATGTGGAAAAAATTTGTTGGCGTAGCCGCTAATGCAAGGAAGCTTTCCAAAATCCATTCTTTTCATTGAAACCAAAGTCTAAAATTTGGGAAGGTAGTTTTCGAGAGAAAGGAAAAATTTAAAATTATCGGTCAAATATTCCACCCCACATACTTTTCCGAAGGCTGCAGACAGAACAGTATGCAGACTAGGTGAATATGCAGATACACAGAAGAGTAGGTCGTGTTTCCATTGAATTTTTTTTTTTTGAAAATCGGTACAATAATTCGAGAAAAAAATCGGTATTTTTGCAAAAAGTGGGAAAAATTTATTAAAACATTTTCTTATTACCTTTTTGTATCAAATAAGATTTCATGGCAGACACGTCAAGCAAGGCCTTTGATTTTCAAGTTAGAACAAACATTACAAAAAAAAATAAAGCCGAAAAGTTTTAAGCAGACAAAAAATGAGCCGAATTAACATTATTTTTATTAATATTAACCTGAGCTGATAAACGAAAATCCGAGAAATCAATTTTTGCCAGAAAAAAAACGTGTTCAATTGCATACATACTAAAAAAAGACCGACCGGATTCGAAATCCGGGACTTAGGAGGCAAAGGCAACGGCCAAGTGCGAAAAAACCGTGAAAATTGCAAAGATTCAATATTGAAGCAAGTTGTAAATTTGAAAAAATGATTACGGAAAAACTCTCTCAAGTAAAATAATTTCTGGGAAATAGTAATTCAAATTTTCCGCGTTGTGAATAGTAGAAAAATTTGAAAATGTTTTGCTTGGTTGAGGTTTGCAGCTTTAACTGTCTGCAACTCAGGAAAAACTGATTGCTAGAGAAATTCTTTCCTCAAAGTTGATAAAAGAAAATATCGACTTTGTTAAAGTAGCAGTTGTAGTAGAAAACGTTTTCACTGCCATTTCGTTAACACAAGCAAAGCCTCAAAGAAGCAGTTTCACAAATTTTTAACTTTAATGAAAAATATGGAGAAAATTAGAAAGCTGCCATTTCGAGACCACAAAAAACTCGAAAATGGAGTTTCACAAAATTTTGAACTTCAAAAATATTAAGGAGAAAATCAGAAACAAAATGCTTTTTCAACTATTGGCTCTCACTTTCGACAAAGCGCTCACTTCCGACCCATTTTCTAATTGAGCTCTTTTTTTTCAATTAAGCACCTTGTAGAAATAACACTGGTTGTTTATGACAAAGAAACGCTTGTGTTATAAAGCGAGTTTTTATTCATTTGTTACGACCAGAAGTTGCTAAAACTTATGCTCTATGGCTGCATATCTGTATTTAGCAGTTTATGCGCATAGTATAATAATTTAAAAATGTTTTGCTTGGTTCAAAATTGCAGCTTTAACTGTCTGCAACTCACGAAAAACTGATTGCTAGAGAAATTTTCTCCTCGAAATTGATAAAAGAAAACATCGATTTTGTTAGGTAAAAGATATAAGAAAAAAAATTAGAAACGAAATGCTTTTTTAACTATTGGCTCTCACTTCCGACACAGCGCTATCTGGCCTTACTGCCTTGCGTTGTTAACATCCTGTAAGATCAAGTTCAAGGCAACAAAAAATGTATATTACCCATTTCCTTATTGCGCTTTTTTGCCAGCTAAGCATTTGGTTGTCAGCCTCTTGTAGAAACTACATTGATTTTTATAGCAAAGAAACATTTGAGTTATAAAGCGAGTTTTTTTTTTTCATTTGTTGCGACCAGAAGTTACTAAAATTTATGCTTTATGGCTGTATATCTGTATTTGGCAGTTTGTGCTTCATCCGCTGCTTAAATTCTTATGCTTTTCGAAAGCTTTAATTTGCCTGAGAGCAAATGTTCTAGGACATTTGTGTTACAAGGACCAGGATATTCCGGGTTTTAAAACGACCGATTTTGCCATCAGGGAATTTTCGGCAGAGTTACTTTATCTAAAATGAGAAATTTAAAATTAGTAACTCACTTAATATGAAAGTTTTTCAGCAAAAGAATTAGTGTTCAGAATGTAATAATTTAGTTTCCAAGTTTCGTTTGATTCAAACAAACTTAGGAGGTCATCGAAAGGCAATTGCACGTCAATGTGACGCCTCTCAACAAAGATCGGCCGCTTCTACACCGTCTGATCTTTGTGTTTGCAGCACTTAACGCAATCTGATGTTTGTAGCAATCTGTTTGTAGCTTTTAACGAGCAAAAATTAGGCATAAAAACATTATCAAATTTCTGTGATGTACCCCTGATAGCAAAAAAAAAACAGGAATCTACCAAAAGAAATTAATACAGTCTTGATTGCCTTGAATATGAACTTCTTTCAAGTTCAGCAGCACCTTGAAATATTCAAGTGTCTGTATTATTGATACTAGCAATTAATTTTTTGTCACTCTTCAAGAAAAATTTGAAATTACACGTGCTGTATAAGCTTGTTTTTTTTCGTCTACACGTAATTGTATTCACAGTTCATTTATTCTTTTTGATCGATACAAAAATTTTTCTAGCTCAACTGTGGGAATGCATGGATCCTGTTGGTTCAACGTTCACTAAGTATCCTTCCTCTTTAAAGAAAAAGTAATCTTAGCATTCGATTTAAGGAATACTTAATTTTTTTAAAAAACCCGTCTTATTGGCTGGCGTATAAATCAAATCACCATAGTCTATAACTGTTCCCATTGATGACAGTGTTATAACTTTGGTAAGCCCCCAAATCTCACAATACCACACCATTGGAACGAACTAACTGCAGATGTTATAAAATGGTATTTTCAGATCTGGAACAACCTGGTAAGTTCTTTAAGTCAAATTTCGATACTTGCAAATAGTTTCTGGGAAAGTGTGATCTGGTTCCTTCTTAAAATTTTAATCAAATTCCTGGAAAATTTTGTCCAAAATGGTTCTAGAAAGCATACCTTTTAGGGACTAAAATTTTACATCTTAATTTAATATCACTGACTAGTGTAAATACAAGATATACAGATAATGTAAAAAAGCAGGTTCGGTTGGAAAAACTAAACTCATAACACAAACATTTGGTTGTGCAATAATATAAACAAGAGTTCCCTAAACCTGACCTACATATCTTTGCATACCAACAGTAACGTATCAAAATTTAATTTGAAATGAAAATGTACAAGTATTTATTTGAATGATAACCTCGGTGGAGTAATAATAAATTTTGACATTCATGGAGCAAAATACAATGAAATTTTGGATTGAATTGAGGCGCGTTATGAAAAATTGAACAGAAATCATTCATTCCAGAACACCAAACAAAAACCGGCTCTTTCTTATGATCTAAATGTTCGCTGGAAATCATCTGAAATGATTGATTCATAAGCTGAGCATTTGATTCTTAATAATAAATTTTAAAAGCACTTTCATGTTATAACAAACAACAATTACATGCACAAATGTGTAAAAAATATTTAATGTACTTATCCAATCTATAAAGCGCGTAGTACCCCGAAGATCCAACAACACAACCAACAATAAGAAACAGACATTCTGGATACTAAAAAGTATCTCCAGTCACCATCGAATTCACTCTTACAAACCAACCAGTTTAATTCTCTCTTTATATTATCCGACAAAAGGGTAGTTATTCAATAACGCTGTCTGTTCAAATCTAATTCAAGATTATACAAAATGCAAATTTACGAAAAAGTGCCGCTTTATTCCGCTATACGCCACTAATATAATTTAATTTTACACTTTTCTGACTTCGACAATCGGAATACAGCAAAGCAATCAATAGAGTTTAACCGAGAAATATGAATAAGTCTAAGGATTTTCAGGCAACGCAATTTGGGTGCTATGCTAAAATAACATTCGTTAAGGACACTGAGCATAGCATAACATGGATGTGATAATAAATATCTCTTCAAAATATAAACTGCAATCAACCGGGAAAAAGAGATCACCTTTAATCAACACAAAACTAGCTGAGGAGTCTTCAGAAATCTTTCAGTTTTTCATCAAACATGCATGACCTCCCCATGCACTGATTCATCAATCCCAATAGTTTTTTTGCTCAAAAGTCTTTTCTCGAATCCGGGCTTTTAGCAATCATATTATTAAAAACTGCTAATTTGAGTTGTACACCAATCAGTTTTTCGAGTCCCGCCTTTAGCATCAAATACTTTCAAGGAAGCAGCTGTTTTCTTTTTTAAATTTTTATGCTTCTTTACTTCTTGCTGGGCTTCAAGGTGGCCGATTTCTTGTCCTTTGCGCTCTTCTTTCCGCTGTCTGGTGCGTCTCCTCCCGATGGCGAGGAAGATCGGGGGAAGGTGGAACTCTCTCTTGTTGGGCAGACGGTGTTGATGCTCTGCACCCACGAGTTCATATCATTCTAAACGTCAAAAAAATCATGATCAGAGTCGGAAATTTCTGCCGATTCGATTAATTTTTAATAGAATAACTATCAGTTTGCAGGATAACTTTCAAATGCACACTTTTTAAAAAATGCTGATTTCATTCGCACAGAAGCGTAGCTTCGCTTCGTAAACACTAGCGAGAACAATGCCAAAACAGCTTTATAAAGTAAAATCAGAAAAGATAGAAATAAGCCTCGAATTAGTAGAACTTTGCTACGTATGGAATTCGACCCTGCGACCTCGAAAATATGAGCCTCAAGCCCCGCCCTCTCGGCCACGAGCGCTTAACATCCATCAAAACAACTCACAAATAAAGCAGCTACATATGCTAATGAATTGCAAATACGATTCAGCAAAAGTGGCATGAAATACAAATAGACACAATTTTGCAAGTGATAATTTGGAATATAACAAACTGAAGGCATCCACACTAACTTTACATGTAACAAATCGTTAAGAATAAAGCCACATTATGTATAAATAATGCATTTCAAAAAATTGCGAGATGTATTCAATTAGAAAATTTCTGAATCGAGTTTTTTGAACAAATATGTTTTTTGAATTAATTAGCTTTTTTCGGTTCATTTGACGAATGAAAAATGCATCAACTGTAGGCTCTTTTCCATTTTCCCACCCCCTTTGATTTTTTCTGAAATCCATTAAATGAAAGTCTATTTATAATGACTTTTGATGTTATAAACTGCATTAAAACGTGTCAGCGTGAACAAATTTCTAAGATGCAAAGTGATATGTGAACAATTTATGAACAGCTTTATTTTGTAATTTTACGAGGGGGGTGGGAAACTGGAAAAGAGCCCACAGTTGATGCCATTTTCATTCGTCAAATGAACCGAAAAAAGCTAAATAATTCAAAAAACATATTTATTCAAAAAACTTGATTCGAATGTCAAAGCACATGCTATCAAAAAGCTGTAAAGGTGCCCCAAAAGTGGCACCAATATTTGCGACTTAGGTGAGAAAAAAAGGTTCTTAATAAACACTGAGCTGACGCTAGTGTAAACACCGACACCTGTATTTTCGGAATACAGTTTTCAAAATGTTTTCCGGGTGAAAATTTATTCATTACTGCGATTTTTTTTCATTACTTAGTTAGGGAGGTGGTACTTACGGCGTCCTTGGCCATGAAGAGACACTCAGCACCGGTTGATGTTTTCAGTCGGAACACATTCTTCTTCTTGGTGTAGTCACTCGCAATTGTGCACTCGCTAGTGGACAGATCTATCTGCGCATGGCCAGAGAGAGCCGCATTTTGCTAAACGCACAAACCATTCAGATTACAATTCTACCTTTTCGCCTCCAAAGAGCTGAGGCTGATACACTTCAGGATAACATCGGCACTAAATTTGTCTCAAAAACCACGAAGCTATTACAATTGTTTGATATCGAAGTCATTCGTCACTTCGCTTTGTGGCCATCAACACTGAAAGCTATGAAATATATCTGATTTCATTCGCTGTTATTAAGGTATGAGTAGTTGTTCATTTATTTTATAATGGTAACCTTAGAGCTCTTCTGGTCTTTGAATGTAGTCAGACTGGTTCCCTTCTGCACCATGTACACTCCCTTCCAGCTTCTGTCCTTGGAGGCCACTCCTCCATCGTCGTTGTCCTTCTTCTTCTGCAGAGCTCCCTCTTTAGTCACCGACTCGTCCGAAGACTTCGGAGGCGCTGAAACCCAAGCCCAAATTAGACTATTCAGATATTCGTAGACTACACACCGAAAAAGCCAAACGGAGACAAAGACTGAACTGAAAACCTGCATTTCTGCAGAAGATAGAATGGAACAAAGGCAGAGTACAGAGAGTAGAAGGCAAAAAGAATACGGATTTTCTATCTATATAATAGCTATTTTTGGTGAATTTAACCACCGTGGAAAGGATGAGCAACTGCATCATTGGAAAATCTATTCTAAGCCGATGCACATCTATGCTCCCGTCAATTAGGAGGTCATGAATCAGGTAACTTGAATCAGCCGTTGGTAAAATTGTACAACTTTAGTCAAATATCTCTAATTGCACGTTGCGTATAATCCAAGTGGGTTATTAGGGGGAAAACATGGCCGATAAAAAATTTCAAATGCACCCAAGAAAACCGAAAAAAAAATATTTTGGAAATCCAAATTTCGAGAAACAAATACTTCAAGAATATTTTATGATCGACGTTTTTTAAATTTAAATAGCAAACTTAGAAAACCTGGGTCAATATTTAAATTTTTTCCACTGGAAAATCTATTAATTCAGTTTCGAAATTAATAGTCATTCGCATTTTTTGCACCATTTTCATTTTCGTTGTTAGCAAATCAATGAACAACTGTAGAAGAAATTGAAAGCCAAGACGCGATAAATCAAATTTCGAGTGGAACTATTTTTACTTCCCTGAAAAAAAACTACACCAGCTAAACACAGCTCTTTAATTCGTTCTTTGACACTTGAAATTAGAATTAAACACGCCTTTTATCCGGTTGTACAATTTCATCAAACTTTTAAGGAATTTGATTCTACCTGGCGTTGACCGGCCAGACTTTCGAGGAGTGAATATGGATTTAATAGAGCCAGAAGATTGCACATTCCCTTTAAAATGGTCTCCACCAGCTGGAAACATTTACGAAACTGTTTGAAAATCTAAGTCTTCATTCAGCATATTTGCTCACAACAAGCCAGTGCATTTTGCAACACCCAAAAGAAGGAACATGAAGCCATGACAATTAAACAGTTTGTAAACTGAAGCTAAATATAAATAGAAATTGAAAACTCCAGATTCTTACACCCTCAAGCTCAAAATGAATAACATCAATATGAAATAAAATTATTGCAAATTTGAGTTAAGTTAATTTTCAGCCAGAAAAAAAAACGTATAAGCAAAATCGTTTGAGAAATTATTGATCGTCTTCAAAATTCAAAAATTGTAACACGATGGCAGGAGTAAATAAGGGAAGGGGAAGGGGCCCCTGAGGATTCGACACCCCTCTCAAGGATTCAAATTCAACTATCTGACCACCTAAAAGATTCTTTAGTACTATTTTTCATCAATTTTAAACGAGCAAACATGATTTTTTTTTCAAGTTTATCTACGCGTCACTACCGCCAATATACAATTAATTTGAAGCGGAGCACGTTTTTTTGGAAAAGTTTCCATGAAATGAATTTTTGGTCTGTTTTTTTTTTCTTATAATACTTTCCTGCGTGGCAGAAAATTGCGGCAAACTAGGGCTTAAAGGTTGAGAGCTCAAAAAATAAGTAACCTAAAAAATTCAAAAAGGGTCAGAAAATTACTGAACTAAAAAGGTGAAACAGGTTGAAAATCCTAGATCCGCCCCTGCTTAATTGAAAAGATAATCGAAATTGAAAACATTGCAGAGCGCACTTTAACTTCACGCGACTACACATGAACTGTGCCCACAGCCAGAACAAGTAAGCAAAATCTACAATTTGCACTTATTTTTGCCCAAAAGAACACAATAGCAGCAATCTGTCGACATAGAGGAATATTTACTGTGCAATTAGGGCGCATAGCTGGCGTGCTTACCAGGAGTGGGCTTGGCTGCCGAAGAAGCAGGTGCAGCACTGCCTTGAGTGGCAGCAGCAGCAGTGCTCTCCGGTACAGTAGAAGCGGGCGGCTGAGAAGCCTGACCAGCTGCAAGAGCACACACACATCCGCAGTTAGTTTGGTGTAGCTTAGCTCACCCAGTTAATTTCATCATTTAGATCAAATTTCTCTTTTCCAGTCCCCCTTTTAGATTTTTTATTGATTTTTTTCTACTATTTCCAAAACACCATTCAAAAAGATTTTTGCACTTTGAATCATAATTTAACATTTGAACAACTTTTATAACATGCGAATTGCGAAAAAAAAACTTTTATAACGTAAATTTACCAGGAAACTGGAAAGGAGCCAATCAGATATCTTCAGTGAAAATAGCAGCAAGAAAACTTTTGAAAACATTTGAACTTAGCAATACTGTTAACTTCTGTTCTATATAAGACTGCCATTAATGTTCACGATGAATGGCGTCAACTTTATCCTTCAATTGTCAACAGCTGAACATTACTTTAAGCGATTTATAAATTTGGCCCACATCACTATGTGTTTTTCTTTCTTTACCTCTAGCTCTAGCTTCTGGGGGTGCAGCCGATGATGACTGAACAGGTCTCTGCACTGAGGGCGAGGCTGCCGGCTCGTGCACGTGATCCACAGTCGGTCTGCTCGGCAACTGTTCCTCCTCCTCCTCCCTAGGAACGACAACATTTTGGACTATTTGTACAAGCCCAGAACTCCCACGGAAACCGGTGGTGTAACTTAATTGCATGACCTTAATTAGGTTATCACAGCGCGTAAGTCCATTTGATTTCGAAGTGTAATGACTGATAGAAAAATATAGCCATATCTGCGCCACAGTGCCTTTTTCAGTCTTCATAAGAATTCAAGAAGAATCCAAAGCTAGCCTTGCTTTGAATCGAAAAAGTTTCTGTCAAGAAGTCTCACATACTTGCTTTCTCTTATTTGATTGAAAAGATACATTTTACTAAGAAAATATATACATATTCCGCATTTCATAGCTGCAAAAAGAGGAGAGCTCACTTGTCGTGCAGCTGGTGCATGGCGACGTATTCCTCGATGAACTGTTTCCTGTTCTTGCTGATGGGAGTGGGCTCGTCCACGAAGTCCGGGTGGTCCTTCATGTACTCCATGATCTTCTGTCGTCTCAACTCCCTCTGCTCCAACTAAACAAGCGGACACCACACATCATTAACGCCCAGCCTGCAGAACCATCATTATATTATAATATTTCAATTACATATCATCAGATTGCTTGAATCAGCTGTTTGCTTAATTCAATAATAGTGTTCAGTCATTCTCAATCAGACAACACAGGAAAGAATTAATATTTGACACCAGACTGATTCGGAACTTTTAAGAATCAGTTTCGCAAGACCAATTTTCAGTCAGAAGTTATATTAGACGCAAGATAAGCCAAAATTGCCGACTTCTTTCATGACCATTTCAACACCCATTTTAAGATATTTCAACTAGTTAAGGAAGGAACTACTCACGGTGGTGACTCGGTCCAAATCATGGAACCTGTCGGTCTGTGCCAGCAGGGACTTCTCGAACAACTCGTGCTTCTTCTGCAGCTTCTCAACCGCCTCCACTGAGTCTCCCAGATCCTGCGTCTTCAGGTAGTTCTCCTGTGCATTGAGCCAGGCCTCTGCCGCCTGGGCGTCCTTCACGTACTGGTAGACCTCGAGGATGAGTTGCAGATATTCCCACCTGTGTTCCCAGTCTGCGATTAGATCTGCTCTCTTGTAGCCAATCTCCAACAGCTTTTTCTTGATCTAAGCCGCAAAACTCAATCAAAGTTTTCTGTTTACTAAGTTGTCAGTACCACTGGATTTCATGGAATACATTGACTGATCATACTACAGATATTTATCCTCTGAATTCTCACATGTTTTCTCATTTTCCTCATTATGAAAAAAAGTAAAATACAAAACGTTCCTCGCTAATAATATTAAACTATTTCCAAGCTATGTAACCTAATAACTTCAATTACTTATTTACAAAGTAGCACAAAAAACCGCCTTCAATTTTCCTTCATGATGAAATGTGAAATTTGCAGAAAAATTCAAATACTATGACAGCCTAGACTTCTGTAAAACTTTGATTCTAATTGGTACCTCTTTGAGTGCGTAATGTCCCTTAGCGATGAGTTCTTTTCCGAGGGAAATGCAGTCTGCGAAGCTCTCGTCCCTCGCATCTATCTCCAATTTGATGGCCTGGTGCAGATTCATCAACAGTTCCACTCCTGACACGTCTCTGGAACAACAGAACAGACTTGTGTAATTCTAATGTTTTTTTTATTTTATAGGCTTCTTTTGAAGCCAATGTTTTATAGGTTTCTTTGAACTGAAAATTATATCAAACGTGTCCACAACAATGCGCTCTAAAGGAGGAATAGATATTGGGTGAATATCTTTTCCATTTCAATACAATTCAGTATGCACTTATTTACCTGGGCTTCTCCTGGTTTTTGATCTGTCGGTTGATGTCGTCCATCCAGTTGAGCAGATCCCGAACCATGGTGTAGAACCGGAACAGATCTCCAGTGTCTGCCAGTTTAATTCTTCTGTCGTCGCAGAATAGCAGCAGCTGATTCCATGCATCAACCACCTCCTTCTCTCGCATCTGGATTTCCCTGGCTTTGTCTCCTGCGTATGACTGCTGGAACTTACCGGCCTCTTCTGTAATGCGGTGCACCTAGACAAACGAAATAATTTAAATCAGGCTAAAAAAAACAGCTTTTGGAAAAAAAAAATTCTGAATCCCACCCGCAGTCAGTCGCTGCCGCTTTGTTGTCTTCGCCTATTGTTGAAATTATCTTCTACAAAAGCGTAAACAAAACTGACAATAAAAAATTTCCAGTTACAACTCGTGATTTAAAGCACCGTTAATAACAAGGGATATCTAGGATTTTATTTTATAATAACTTAATTGCCTTGAAATTTGTATGACATTAATAACCACAAGACAGAGATTAGAAAGCTACAGAAGAGCAGCAAACCTGGTCTCGTAGGGACTGGACGTCGAGGATGAATGACTCGTGTTTCCTCTCCAGGTTCTCCACCTGCTTCTTGTCCTTGCCCAAGTCATCCGGCAGATTGTTCATCTTCTCCTTAATCCTCGCCAAAGTGTCCTTGCAATCACTGTAGAACTTGCGCAGGTCATACGAAGCCATCAGCAGCTAAACGCAAATAGATATATTCATCGAATCCAGCTTTCCAACTTGACCGATATCTATTATCACAAACAGTATGTTCTTAAACTACATTGTTCGCTCTGCTCTTCTATACACTTCAGCAGCCAGCAATGTATTGTTCAGGTATCCCTACATTGAGTGTTTCCTACCTGAGTGCGTGTGTCCATGAGCTCCAGCAGGTCGTTCCATATCTCGTTCAGGTGTTCCTTCCACTCGGCGATGAGGACTGCGTCTCCGTGGCCCTGTTCGATCATGGCATCACATGCATCCGACACCTGGTTCACTCTCTCGTGGCCAACTTCAGTCGTGTCTTTGGTGAAGACCTTGAACTTGTCCAGCAACATCTGAAAACACAAACACACCAATTTAGATGGGAGGAAGAAGTTATTTCAAATTATTCCATGTTGAAATAAAAATTATTGATTTAAATTATTCCTTATTTAACATACAGACTCACGATCATTCCCTTCAGTAACGTATACGGAACATCATCCTGTCCCTGTTTTGTTCTCAATTCATAACATGAACGCCAAGTTATTGATAATTCCTCTCATTCTATTAAGTATGCAATCAATTGTTACTGGCTACTATTTTACCATTCACAACGCAATTTCAAACGCTTTTTTCTCCATCCAATTTTTCTTAGCCGTCATAATTTCAATCGGATATCATAGCACCTATTGCAAAATAAGTAAGGTACACTAACGATGACGTGTTCCAGATCCTGTCCCATCTCGTGGGATCCGGCCACAATTTCCCTCTCGTTGATCCAGATCTCCAGGTCATCCACATCTCTGTTCAGTTTAAACAATTCGACTGCCTGTTCCAGTCTGTTTTTCCTCTCCTCGCAGAGACCCTTCAGATTGGCATAGCTGTGCTCGATCTTCTCTTGCTCCGACTGGATCTTGGGACTGAAATAATTCACCGTTACTATCTGAGCCGAACAGACCTTTGGCCGAATAGTGATTATGGTGAGCATGACATTAAATGGATCATTGATTTATGTTGACAATTCGATAGGCCTAAGATGAATAGCACCTTAAGCATGAAAAGCACCTTAATTGTCGTGGAATCGAAAAATTGAACAATTTTTTTTTGATGAAATAATATAACATCACTTTCACGGTTTTTCATGCCAATCGTTAAATATATTCCACTAAACAATTAATTGCGCTTCAAATATATAGGTAACGCAATTCAACTATTTTCGAGATACATATTTCCCATTTAGAGACATTTATTTTTCTGTTATCGGTTTATGTCTAACGGCGAGACATCAACAATACATCGTTACGACTATTTCCGAGCACTATGATCACTTGACAATTTTTATCCGGTTCCAACTAAATGTTCGCATGCAAAAATTGGGACCAAAAATACAAAGAAATACAAATAAATTGTTAACTTGATGTGCTTTAAGCTTTTTATGCATTCGACTAACTTAAATGCATCACTATCGCACCAGGCATTAATTTACATGATGCACTTCCCTTGCGTTCGAACATGGATTCTATATTAGGTTCCTTCGATGACTTGTAGATAAATATGAACCATGTTTAGCAGAGAAGATTAAGATCTTTGTGATTAGTTACCGATCTAATTTGGAGTAGGCATTTTGCAAAATGGGGCTAAAATAAACGCAACACTGAATATTAGATCATTGCAAAACCAAGAGACGAAGAAAAAGCAAATCACAAATTTTTATTCAAGATGTGCCGACATTGTTAAACGCAGTCACTTTGTTTACTACTTAATACAACTGACCAACACTGAGACAACAAAAAACGGATCAAGTAGTCTTAAAAATTGTTTTGAGTTTTTTAACTGAATGGGATTGGTTCACTTCCGTATCAGAGAGGATTTTTCCAGTTCCAAAAAAAATCAGTTAAATGGATGGCTTTCCAAATTTGACGTTCAGATTAATAGCTTCAATTTGATTCTCGGAAGACAGGCATCGATCTAGAGCCTTAGTAATTAATCATTAATAAACAATTTGAAATCAGTGCTTCCGTCAATTAGCCAATTAAACAGAAGCCCAAGTTGGAGCCAATTCACTTGCGTTTGAGACCAGATGAACTGTTTCTTTACTATTCCAGATGGGAATGATAGCAATAAATTTATTTTACCTGTCTGGGTGGTTAGCTTCCAACAGTTCCTTTGCTGTGTCTGCACATGCTTTGATCGTGTCTTCGAAATCATCAATAGACTTCTCCAGTGCCTGGTGCTTCTTGAGCAAGGCTTGCGCACTTGGCTCATCCTGAAAACAAGACAAACCTGTTTCTTTAAAACTCTTCTTCTAAAAAGCTCAGAGGTTGATTTAAGATAAGGAAACAGAAAAACGTGATCATAGTTGATAGATTGCATTGTTTAACTCAACTGAACCTAATTTTACCTTCAAAGCTTCCAATAATCTCTAAAATTATCAAAACTGTCAAGCTTACTATTATGATTGTACATTAAAGCAAAACTATGCGATGCAACGCTTACCTGGAACCGTGGCTTATTTCAGTCAATTTGGAGTCTTACTTTTTTCAGTCACCAGCGTTCTCAAGTTTCACCCCTCCTCAATTAAGCCAATATACAAAGTATTGACAAACAGTTCATTCAATAACTTACCTTTCCTCTATCCTGTGACATTAAGTGGAACTCTTGATCCGACATCCACACCTCAGCATCCTTAGCCTCTTCAAAGTACTTTTGAGAGTTCTTAAGAATTTCCAGCTCAGCTATCTTTTCCTTCAGTTTCTCGTCCAATGAAGCCCAGGTGCTTTCGAGGTCGTCAATACGGTCATTCACAGCCTGAGGATTGTGGTACGCTTCATCATCGATGAGCGAGTGACCATCTTTGATCACAGCGTCCAGAACAGGTCGGTGGCTTGCAATGTCATTTTTGAGACTCTCGTTTCGCTTCTCGAGCTGTTCGGCCTCTTGCAGACTTCCCGGGACTGGTCTCGTCTCGCACAGTGGTATCTTTTCACTCATCCAAGTCTTCTCATCAGCTGCATCTTGGAAAAACTTGAACTTCTTTATATCAATTTCGAGCTGCTTCTTTTTGTTTTCAAGAGGCTGTGACACTTTGTTAAATCTGGACTTGACATTTTCTGATTTCGCTTTGATCTCCTCTTGCTCTGTGTCGGGCAGATCGGTGATTCGGTTCTGTTGATTGTCCAACTCATTCAGTGAAGACTGGGTGTCTGCCAGTTTCTTCTGGATCAGATTGAACTGGTCCATTTTGATCTGGGCATCTACCAAGTTGGTACATTCTTCGGGGATCTCGTCCTCTTCCACCTCGCCAATGTTTTCGTCCAATTCAGCGATCGACTAAAATGACAGATGATTATTTAAGTATTTATAACATTGTTCATCAACACAAGAAAACACCAATATCCGAGCTGTTCAGCTTTCAGCAAGTCCCAGTTTTTGAGTGCCGGATTCACAGCAAAGATTATTTTTTTAGTAAACTTTCTGCGGCTGAAAATTTTGTGTTCCCTCAATCAATGAGTGCATTTTCAATTACCATCTCTCAATGATATGCTCCTGGAAAAAAACTAGGTTTCTTCCTATCCATTTTTAAGAATTTTCAATTAGCATTTTTCTGCAAAATATAACAATATATACGATATAGTTCAAACTATATAACCTAAAATGATAAATGCACATTTAGTTAAAACTCTTAAGGAATTCTCGACGAACTTACAGACAAGAAGATGGATCCCTTCTCCTCTTCGAACAACTTGTCCACCAAATCCTTCGCCTTCTGCTTTGTCTCAGCCAGCTGCACTTCAGTTGCTGTGATTGCCTCGTCCACCTCATCCGCCAGTTCGGGGTGCTTCTCCCGCACGTTGTTCGCGTGGTCCTTCATGTCCTCCAGTTGTTTCTCCAGGGCGTCCACCTCCTGTACTACAGCTGTACTCTTCGTGAACTTCTTCTTTCCCTCCAGGGGCGACTCCACAATCGTGTCCACCAGGTGGTTCTTGTCCTCCACTGAGAAGTGCAGCTACACCACAACAAATATTATCTTACCTACTCTTGTTAACTATCCCCTTGCCTAACTTGAAAAAGGAAGGCGGATTCTTCACTTAAATCCAAATTCTTTTATGATCAACCTTTGAATTATAAGTCCTTTACATTGGTCGAAACTATGTTTAAACACTCGCGGATTGTTAACAAGATTCATTGAATTGAATCATGAAAACAAAAAACCCAACCAAAATCATCAATCTGAGAACTATTCAAAACCTTATAACACAGATACCTCGTCAAATTTCCAATATTTCCCAATAGTAAGACCCATTTTTGTTTTAAATCGCAATTCTAACTCGGAAACAATAAGCCTTGCCCTAATACTTGCCCTTAAAGTGTCATCATGCCACTTTTGGTAAAAATTCCGACAAAAATCAAAATAACCGCAAGGTTGTTTAAGGCAATTTCACTTACACTGTGGAAATCACTCTTGAGCTTCTGCCAGTCGAGAGAGTCCACCAACTTCCTTAGGTCATCCTCAGCCTTGTCTCTGTTGGTGTCTCGTCTCTGCTGGATCTCGTTCGCCTTCTCTACTGCTTTCGGGGAGTGCTCGTTGTCCTGGGAGTAGAGATCATCTGCCAATTTGAGGAACTGCACCACCTTCTCGTCATTTCTATCCATCGTACTGATCAGATCCTTGTACTTGCCAATGAGTTCGTTGCACTGCTCGATGTTACTTGGCTTCTCCACTTTGGCCAGGAAGGCGTCCTGTTTGTTCAGCAGACTCTCCACTGCCCTTCCGTCCTTCTCCAACTGCATGTAGAGTACCAGCTGCTTCAGACGGTCGTCCGCCCGGTTCCAGATCTGATGCAGTTCGTCCCATTCTGAAACAGCACAGTGACGTCATAAAATCTCACTTCAAACATTTGAAACCATCATTTTTTCTCTAATCTTCTAATAATACAGCGTCAAAGTGTTTTTAAAAAGATTCTCCAGATCTCAAAAAATTCCCTCCTTTTCTCACGCAACAATCTTCCTCGACCTCGATGACCTAGTTCGAGGTTCGAGACATGAATTTCAGATACTTTAGCAATTTCTTTATGAAGTCCCCGACTTATAGTCCATTTATGTGTAGTTCCTGACGCTAAAAAAACGTCCCCTTCTAAACCTCAAAACATTTTTTTAAAGGTTTAGCCCATGTCACCGTGGCTACCACGCAATATTTCCACTCAAAAATGACCAAGTATGACCAATGGGCTGATATTCTTCACATGTAGCCTCAAATGTTACCATATTTAGAGAAAACCCACACGCACATGAAAGTGCGAAACACATTCATTATCCTAGAACCAACCACTCAAATACACTGTTCGTTGCTTTATCTTGGTCTGAATATTCACACTGTTTTGAGCAGACTTTGGTTAGGGCTGGTAAATGCAAACATGTACTATCAAAGTTCGCAACTATTCAGTCATTTCAACCACCACCTGCATAAAAAGAAACTACATATACTTTTAATGGTTCATATCACCACACCAGTTTCAAGGATTACGTCTCAAATGGCATAATTCCCAAATGGCATAAAAATGAAATATTTCCCAAATGGCATAATTTCATACAACAGTTGCTTTGGAAAAATCGAGAACAATTTTTTCGTGAACAATGTGAGAAAATTAGTCAAATTGTCAATTCAAATGTTGATTGACATTTTATCGTGAAAAACTTGTAGAACTTTTTATCAAAAGCAAGAAGCATAAGCTTGCGGTTATTAATAAGCTTCTTGTGGTCAAATTTTTTTCGGCAAACCTGTGGCTTAAATTTGTTTGGAAGCAATTAATTCCAAATCTTGTTCACATGCTTTCGTTCCTGACAAAATGTTAGAGTTAGAAATTGATAGAAAACGTTTAAATTACAATGAAAACTTGAAATTTATGCCATTTGGGAAAAATTTCCATTTTTATGCCATTTGGGAATTATGCCATTTGGGAAGTTAGCGTTTCAAGCATGGTTCTGCAGATTTCAATTCCATTTCTTTGTTCACTTCTTTGAACGCATGAGAAGTTAACAGAATAAATTTGAGCAACGATAAATAGCCAATCAAACGTGAACAAACCAGTCGAAGCATAAATAAACCGAAAACGAGCAGAGCGTATAAATAGCAGAAAGTTATATGATTTTAGTAGACGTTTTCTTAATTCAAGCATTTTTAATATAATTACTATGCAATTATTACCTAGCTTCTTAATTTTTTAATTATGTTAACATGGTAGCTAGTTAATACATCGGCTTTGATTTACACAATACCTATCAATTCAGTTCAAATCACCAGCTGCGAGAAATCGAATTACCACTACATTTGCAGATATGACAAAACGCTCGAAGTGTAAGCCTAACTCAAAAGCAAATTGTATCCAATTCCAAACCAAACTTAAAATTTGGCCGTGAACCGTTAAGCTACCATGTGAACAAATAATAATGTCACAGATCAACATAATCTCTCGAAAGCCCCAAATACATATCCAAGGCACTGGGTCACGTTGAGTCAGACTGAAGTTATGCTACCTTACTATTCGTCCAAAAAAAACTGAATAAAATTTGAAGAATCTGAAATTCATTTTGAAAACATTTTAGAGCTTGACTTTTTCAGGCTTTGCTTTTTATTTCATGCAACTTTTGATGATTTTGCCGTGTAAATAGAAGTTTTTTATATAATACCATCTACATCTGGGCATGAATGATAGGAAAACGAATTTAAAGGCAGGAAGAGCACGCAAAACACAGACTGGAACCAACGAACTTTATTGAGATCCAACTGTAACAGTCTACACAATACCTTCATTGAACAAAAAAGAACACATATTCATACAAAAGTCTCCATCAGCCATACATGCAATATATTATTCCCATTTACCAAATGAACAAGTTTTTTTTCAAAACAGTCTGCTCCGATATTATTTTATTTGAGCAAAGCATGTAAAATGGATTTCAATTCTATATTTGCAGTCTAGCTTGCTTCTCTCTTCCCACTTTTATTTCTCTTGCACCGACGCGTGTGCAAGAGCGCAGCATACACATTACGCACGCTTAGTAAGGGAATTCCTTTATCCATTCAAAGCACATGCAGCTCTATTTCAGCCGAGTTGCACCAACCGCTTGGAACTTTCATTTCAACACATTTCCACGCTTGTTTTGAGCTGCCAACTAACCAAAATTTATACCAGAGATAGGCGAGCTTCATGTATTTTTCATACCGGTTAATCTTTTAACGGAAATTTTGGCCGATTTCAGGCGTAAATGGACCGGTAGTTGGCTTTTCCTGACTCCGCATGCAAAAGGATTCCCGTTTAAATTCCAGAAGCAATACGAAAATGTTACAAAATGTTTTGGATCGTATTGTATTATAAATAGTATCCTGATTGAATACACGGTAAACAATTTTTTTGCTCGTGGCATTTTTCTGAATAGCTCGCGACATGGCAATTCAGAACAATTTTTAAACTAACGGCGGACCAGATATTTGACAATTTAACTGCCACATAAAACCTCCATAACTGCTATAGTCAATAATCCTTTCATTTTATAAAATCTATTGTTAAGTAGATCCGAAATTTTCTCTATTTTCAATGTTCCAATCTCATACCATCAAAGGCGCAATGTTACCGACCGATATGAAAAAAAAACTGATTGTGAGATATTAATCACGTATGCTGTCTGAAATAACAAGAAAAAGGGTACTAGCCTTTGTCAGCGGCCTCCAGTCGCTGTCGGAACTGTCTGTACTCTGGATTGTCCTGGCCCTCGGTCAGTTCATCACCCGTCGTCTTCAACAGCGCATACTGCTCCTCGTAGTTGTCAATCTCGCCCTTGATCAGATTCAGTCTGATCTGCAACTGTCTCGCATCCGCCTCAGTTTCAGGCGTCTCCTGTAACAGTCACATATTTTACATATACTAGGCCAAAAGACGTATTGTTCAAATGGGCTAATCACTCGCCACCATAAAGTGTTTGTGAGCCATTTAATCTAATACAACATGGCCAACAAAAAGTTGGAAAAGAGTGATGAATGAATGTAAACAGAAAAAAATTGTTTTTGATTTTTTTTTCAAAATTCAAAGAAAAAATAGATGCCCTTAAATCTCTTTGAATTTCGACATCAATTTATGATTGATACTTTTTAAACAAATTTAACTCAATTTGAGGATACTGGATCAAGAGATAAAAAATTATATTTCACTGGAAAATCTGATAATTAAATTCCATTTTCGAAATTAGAAGTAAGCCTTAACTTAAAAACAAATCAAGTCAAACCGCGGAAAAAGTAACTTGAGCCTGAACAAATTTTAAAACTTCCTTTAAAAAAATCATCACGACCTATATAAGAGTCTTAATTACGTTCATCGACTCCTAATCAGCGAAAAACCAAACAGAAGCATATTAAGGTCAACACACTATGAATGTACAAGACCCAAAGTAAAGGTAAACAAGACTGCTCGTATCAGGGCAAAGCCCTGAATGTTCCGACTGCCTTTTCAGGTTTATCGAGCAGTAGTAGCATAAAAAAATTAAATATAATTAAAAAAATGAAATTTTTTTTCCCTAAAATTTGAAATTTTTATGAAAATCATCACCCCACACGCCATATAAAGTACAAAAGGATAGATTTCGCTCCTTGTAACAAAATAATTATGACAAATAAGCTTCTTTCAACCAATTTGGAACGATTTAAAAGACGGATTAAATCTCCGCTTACGCGTTAATAGCGCGAAATATATCACGCGTTAATTGTCCCAAATTGACCAAAATGACAATCTTTAAACCCCCATAACTTTACGAAAAATGATCACAGGTGAAATATCTTTTCAAATTTAAGCTCAGGACAACAATACCTTTTGAATGATATAAAAAAATTCTGTCAAAAATGGCTAGTTAAAAAGTCGAAATTTATCTGAAGAAAAAAAACCCACCCCGAGCACAAATATTCCGTCACTTTCGTATCGAAAGTCGGAACAAAAAGAGGCAAAGCAAAGCTTCGCACTCTTTGCAATACCACACACACACATAGCCAACAGTTGGAAAAGCGTCAATGAATACCACAATAAAAAGAAAAAAAACTGACTTATTTTTTGAAGTCTCAACTTCAAATTTCAAAGAAAAAATAGGTGCCCTTAAGGCTCTTTGAATTTCAAGAACAGTTTATGATGGGCACTTTTTCAATTAAATTACCCCAATTTAATTTTCAGACTTCACTGGGAAATCTGAAAATTTCAAAGAAAAAATTTCGAAGAAAAAATAGGTGCCCTTAAGGCTCTTTGAATTTCTAGAACAGTTTATGATGGGCACTTTTTCAATTAAATTACCCCAATTTAATTTTCAGACTTCACTGGGAAATCTGAAAATTAAATTCCCTTTTCGAAACTAGAAGTTGATCACGTTTTTTGTGACCTTCTAACTTTCACTGTTCGATACTTGAGTTTGCCTTCCTTTTAACAAAGAAATGAACGGAGCTCAAAAAGAAATCAAAAGTCGAACTGCAAAAGACGAACAAATTTTTAGACTTTTCCTGAAAAAAAAACAAATCTTCATGGCTATAAGAGTCTGAAATACGTTCATCGACTCTTAAATAAAGCTTGGCAAACTAACAGACAGATAATGAGACCAAAATGCAATTGTTTTTTGTTTAATTATTTTTTTTTCGCTTCAAATGATGACCGAAGGCGTTTAATCAGCAGATATGTTCATTTCAGGGCTTCAAACGCACATATCTGCTAATTAAACGTCTTCTTAAACGTCTCCTTATCCCTATCATTTATACCAAAAAATCATTATTCCAAAAAAATGATCTACCGAATGTTTCATAACGTTGCCTTGATTTTATTTTAAATATAGTTTCTTCAGCAAAAACCTACCTGGCAATACCTGAGCAGACACACTTTGATCCGAAATGAGACCGATCTAATATAAGCAAAATTATGGGAAAAAAAAAGAGAAAAACCAAAAAAAAAAAACTGATATAATGAAACGGTATTTGGTAAATGAAATCTAGCCAACAGATTTGAAAAGAGTCAACGAGCGCAAGTAAACAGAAAAAATACAGACTTGTTTTTGAAAACATCTCAACTTTCGAAGAAAAAAATTGATGACCTTAGAGCTCTTAGTTTCTAGAACAATTTATGATAAACAATTTTTTGATAAAATTAACCCAATACAAATGTTACGCACCTCATTCACAATCTCGTTCATTTTGGCGTGCAGCCACTTCTCGAAGTCATCCAGGTCTCGGATGAACCTCTGAAGGTGTCCGGACTGGTCCAGCTGCTCGTCTCTGTCCTTCAGGATCTGTCTCAGATCGGCCCAGCTGGAGTAGGTGTCGTGGATCTGTGCCTTGATCTCATCACTCACTCCCGGGTGCTGAAATTGACAGGGATAATCTTTATACACAAAAAAAAAACAGCTCTCAAAAAATTACTTTAAAAAATTCATTAGTTCTTTCCCACTTCATGAAGTGGTCGAAACAAAACATTAAAGCCCAAAAGCAGCAAAAAAAATCAAAGAACATCTCAATAAAAGCAGTTTTCAATGAAAAACCAAATGGTTCAAAGGTTGGAGTTAACCGATGTGCTTAAAAACCTTAATTTTAAAACAGCTGCTTCTTTTTCATTGGAAAATTGACGTACTTCAGCACAGAGTCTGTCTGCCTCGTCAGTGAGTCCTCTGATCTTGCCCTCGATCGCACTGAGATCCCTCTCCATGCCCGCCAGTCTTCTCTGCAGCGCAATCACAGCAGTCAAGTCATTGCCCAGAGCCTCCGTGTCCTGAATCAACTTAGCCTTCTCCTTGATCCAGGTGATCGTTTCCGTGCACTCGATCACAAACTGTTTCGTCTCGTATGCCTGGTAGATGATCTTTCTCTTATCCTGCATCATCAGTCTGATTCGCTCCCAGGTCTCGTTCAGCTTGTCTCTTCTGGCCTCCACCTTGTCTGCGTCCGGATGAGGGTTGGGTCGATTGATGAGCTCGTTTGCAAGAGCGTTCACCAATTTCACCTAAATAGAATGCAACTTACCAATAATTTAAAGCTGATCAAAGATATACAGCTAGTCAAAAAACTTAAAGCTCCTATATATTCTCCAAGCCTGGACGCTCAATTATAGTTTGAAATCACATTTTGCTCCAGAACGTCTCGATGGCACACATCGACCAAATCTATAGACTGTCTATGAACCATTTTTGAAAAACAGGAGTTTCATTTCCCAAGAACAATTGATTTACCTTTTCGTCGTTGTTTGTGAACTCCTTCTCAAAGTGGTCATATCTGTGCTTGAGGATCTCGATCTCATCTACGTCCTCTGCATTCTGGATGACGAGGGACTCGAGGAAGTTGAGCTTTGTGGCCAACCAAGACTCGACCAGTTCTGACTCGTTGAACACTTTGTAGAGGGACGAGGCGTCCATTAGAGCTCCTTGTCGGTTGGTAGCGTACACTTGCAGTTCCTTGTACCTCTTGTCCATCCTAGAAGCAGCATATAAATATACATTAAACTGATTGATGTATAGTTATGTCAAATTGTTGGCAATATCCTTTTCGATCAATGGATCTGAACGAACTTATTAACCTACAATTGCTCATTTTGACGCCTGAAGTCAATTTACACTCCTTTGATCGCGTAAAAAACCAAGTACAATTTGAATAGAAGCATTGTTTCTGACCGATTTAGTTAGTCAAGGTCACCGATATTGCCACCAAGTCGGCATAAACCATACAACAGGTGATACTCTATGTACATTGTTCCGATTAATTGCTTCTTTATATTGAACTGTATCTAAAGGTCGACAAAAATTGTTAAAGAATTGGCTCGGTAGGAAGAAGAATACTCACTGGCTCAGTTTCTCCAAGACGTCTGGTGAGTTCCTCTCATGTTCTCCGAGGTTCTGAGCGTGTTTGTGAAGATCCTCCAAAACTGATTGAAAGTTGCGGAATTCGCTCATCGTGTCCCTGAAATAGGTTGAGACTATTGACTATACTTACTTGTGATACCGATATTTTCAGGCTACATTTAGGCTTATTAATTACTTGAAAATACAATCTGATCTCTCTTTTTGAAAAAATCCTAATTTAAATCAACTCACTCGTGTTTTTTGATAAGTGCCTGGTTACTACTCTCGTCTTGACCACAGTCGGTCATACTGAAGATATGGAAGAAATCCATCATGTATGCCATCGCATCTTCATGTTCAGCGTGGAATCGATAAAGCGAAGTGGCCTCGTCCAATCTCTTCTGCCTCAGTTCCACGAACTCTTTCAGTTTCAGCCACATGGCATTGATCTCATCAATTCGCGCCTGGATCTTTGCTGATCCGAAATGCTGCTGGTCAATCAAAGTCTGTCCAGCTGCAATCATTTCGTCCAATTGTGTCTGATGACTCTCAATGTCATCTCTCAATGCCTTGTGCTTATTCAGCAAGTTCTGGACTGAAGTTAGCGAGTTTCCGATATCGACCGTGTTGATGATCTGGGCTTTTTCCTTGATCCAGGATTCCTCGTCAACAACATCCCAGAAAAATTGCCAGAGCAGTTTTGACTCTTCCAGCTTGTCGTGTCGACTGGACGCCATTTCGCACAGCTCTTCGTATGTCTGGTTCAGCTTTTCCTTGTGTGCTTCGATTTCTTCCTTCTTGCAAGGTGGCTCGCCTGAAATAGTCGTAACAGTTGAACCAAATCAACTCAATTATAATTTAAATTTAATTCATAAATCACGAAATGCAAGTAAGATTACCTGATTGCTCTTCGATTCTGGCATAATAGTCATCTGCCTTCTGGTTGACAGCATTCATTCGTTCATTTTGGGCAGACACTGCCGCTTCTAACAAAGCATGCTTTTGCAACAAGTCCTCGACTCCCATCAGATGTTTTCCGTAGTCGTCGGACATCAGAGGTTGCTACACAAAACATCAATTTCAACTCTTCGAAACTCGAAAGAACTAGTAAGATATTTCAATTAAGTGAATTAAAGCAAACTCACCCTCAATTCAGCCATTTCACTGCAGCACAATTCCATTTCCTTAAACACTCTGTGCAAACCAAGGGCACAGTTCAGTTTTTCTCTTCGAGAATCCAACATAGCAAACAGATCATCCCATAGTTTTTGCACATTATCTCTTCGACCGTTGATTCTCTTATACTCGTGATAATTTTCCCTCTCCAAATCCAGAGCAACCTCAAGAATCACATTCACTCGCTCTCTGTACGCCAGGATATCAGTCTCGATTGCTTCGTGTTTCTTCATCGAAGCCTCAATCTGTGCCAAATCAGTTCCAAAGTTCTCAGTTTTGACGATTCTCTGGTTCTCAGTCAGCCACGTTTCCCTCATCGCCGCTTTCCTGTCGAACCTCAAAGCCAGATGTTCCAATCGCTCTTGTCTAATCAGTTCATCTCTCAGAGCGATTTCTCGGCCATGTTCTGCCTTTTCCAATCTCTGCCAGGCGTTGTTAATTTCCATGACAGTTTTGCCCTCTTCAGCCGTGAAAGATTTCATGTTGTGAACAGACAGTTGACTTCTGATCTGGAAGAACATCATTTCAATCGCTCCCTTCTCATTGAACTTGGGCGGCTTCTCTACCGTCGTGTAGCTGTGGAATCGCAACAGCTGCTGCTGCACACCATACAATGAGTTGGCGAACACTCGGTCGTTCAGTTGGACGATCCTGTCTTCAATCCACTTCAGTAGATCAGTGACCAATTTGTAGTAGTTATGGATCAGCTTCTCAATGTCAATTCGAGCTCTCATGACCTAAATACACGGATAGGTGCAATACGAGGCCCTTTCATTCAAAAAAAAATTTGAAACCTTCCAGCATCATGCTTTGTTAACCAAACTGAGAAGAATGTTAGAAAATTATATATATTTCATAACTCGTCAAGGCCTTCAAAATTTCAGCTAATTCTTACCTTTCGGATTCGTTTGCTGCAGACAGTTTCATCTCTGGCCTTGGAGAAGTAGTGGTACAGTGTGACCACATAGGTGATGATTGACTTCTCATCCGGATACTCCACATTCACATCTTCAGGGTCCAACAGCCTCTGTATGCCCAACTTCTGCTCCGCCTCCTTGAACGCCTTGGCCAGACATTTGTCCATTTCCTCCTTCTCCCGGGGATGTTCACGAGGAAACGCGATGTCATCTCGGTGCTTGTTCAATAGGGCGCTGAAAGCGAGACCATCTCTCCAGCTGGTTGTGAAGTTTCGCACACTCACACCCGGATATCTGAAAATAAACAAGCATCTTGCATTGTCTTAATATATCGAAAGAATTGCTGTCCAAATATTTGTGGTAGACTCGTTGGGTTTTGATCGAATCATGGCAAGTTCAACTCACCCTGCAGTTTTCAGTTGGCACCACAAAAGAAGTGCTTCTTTCGCTGAGATTGTGTCCTGGCTCTCAGTTTCAATTTGGATATCTTGGATCTAAAACCACCAATTACTTTCAAATTAAAATCTCAACATCAAAATAGAACAACATTCAAGTAAAGTATTGCTACGAACAGTCCATCCACCTCATCAGATAGTCTAGGTACTCGCCTGGAATCTGAGGATGATGGTCCAGATCAGACCCAGAGTAAGTCTCGGACTCCCGTCCACGATATCCTGAGCTCCCAAGTTCTCCAAGTGCACTCGCTTCTGACTCAGAAACGTCAGAGCCTTGTCCACATTTTCTAGACAGTGGATCCTCATCCTTCCTCGAGTGGGTTTTGGAAGCTGCTCCCCGGACAGAATTTGGAGCAGTTTGATCAGCAGTCGACCGTCTTGCAAGTCGATGAACAGGTCGTTCGCTCTTGTTGACATGTGCGCCAGATGGGAGTTGACCCATTTCGTAAACGTCTTCTTTTGCACAATTTCTCGCTCGTCTGAAAAGTATCGACGTGAAAAATCAACAAAAGTCGATAAAAATCAAAACTTTCAATAATCTCGCTGTTATTCTTTCTCTTCACCATTTTAGTTGGTCAAAGTAGCTTCAATCTGCCTCAACTCAATTTAATGCATCTTGATTTATTTATTTAGGCAATTCGATTTTTTGTTGAGTTCTTAGTGACTCACCTGATAGCGCCTTGATCCTCTGTCTCTCAAAGAGTCGTGCCGAGCTGTTCTCGTCGTACATATCGTCCATGTTCTCGTCATCATCCGCCAGATCCTCCGAGAGGTATCCTGATCGCACGATGTGGTCAGTCGTCATCCTTCTCAATTCTCACTTCTAGCTTCTAATTCGCTCAACTTGACTTCACTGATTAAACTCTCCAAGCAATGGTGCAAGTAAGTTAGTTGATCAGCGCAGCTCAATAATTCTAGTTGCGTCTTAGATTTGTTTTAGCTGTAGTGCGCAGTAAGAAAAGACTATCAAAGATCTGAAATAAGCTTAACGTTTAAACACTGAAGTTTTGCTCATTAGTCAAGGCTGGTTGCTTTGCATACTAACTGGAGACAACTCTCGATTCGTAATATATGGGATCGACAAACAGTCCTTCACTCTTTTAAACCATGCGGCACCATTACAAATGGCGTGAAAATATTGAAGCGATATATCAATGCTACTAATTTATGGCTAACTGAAATTTGAGATAAGATGCCTTTTGTTGGCTAGCTATTCAAATTTGAACCTCAGTGGAATTGTGCCCACAATCTACGATTTGCGCCAATAAATCAAAATACATGCAAGGTTTTATCATGTTTTGTTAACGATGGCCATCAAAATAGGTGAAAATTTCCGCTAACCTAATTAAATTTGATTTAGCTACGTATTATTTAACTAACAGTGGAAAAATAAACATTTGTAATATTTGCATTACAAAGTTTAAAGTATCTAAGGTCGATTTTAATTTGAGGAAAGCTAAGTCTAATTCATGATGGCAATGACTTCGGGTTCAATAGGGTCTGCAGCTGGCGTAAGTTTTCTGTCAACATTTGGACTTCGTCATTGCGTCCAGCATTTCTGGCCTGCGTCAGATATCCTTGCACTTGTCTGATTTGTAGCAGAACTGGGTCTTCCCCCTCACTAGCACCTACTGCCCCTGATACCGAAGCAGCTGGAAGGAAGCCATTGGCACGCTTGGAAGGTCTGGTAGATCTGTCAGGACTGGAGCTAGGAGTGGACCTGGTCGGGGTTCCGGACCCCAAGTAGGCCGCTTCTAGTTTGTCTTGCTCTAACTTTCGAAGAACTGCAGTTTTTCTATTCTCCTTTTGCATCAAGTATTGCTCTTGAGTAGGCAAAGATTGCAACGCATATAAATTTTGTTGAAGAAAAAGTTGGGAATGTTTTCGGATGGCAATTGCCAGTTTGTACTCTTGCGGTGATGAAGAGCATCCGCTCACAATGCGCTTGCTAAGGCCCTCGATTACTTCGTAGCTTTTCAGAAGATTATGCCGCATTTCAGTCGCTTCTCCGAATGTGTAATCTGATTCACCCTTAAAACAGAACTGAACTAAATAAATCAGGAGACTACTGAAGCACATTCATTCAACTTAAGAAAATAATCTCTTTTCAAATTACGTTTTTTGTTCGAGGTTTTGAGGTTTTTTGTTCGAGGTTTGATGAGAAAACTGTCGAACGGGTATAAATTTAGTGAATTTGGCTTTATCGACCACAGTTGTCTTAGAAAAATGAACTAAAAACAAACAAGTGAAAAAAAACATTGAGAAAAGTTTTCCTTACTTTTTGCAGAATAATTTTTCGATTCAAAACATGATTATTCGGATGATTATTTATGGTACTTGATTTTGTGTGGAAAACAAAAACTAAAAACAACCCAAATACAAAGTTTTCAAATGGCAGAACAAAAATGCGAGAATCTACAATAACACAAATTTTGATAGCCGGAGTGTTGTTGAGGTTCAAGAAAAAGGCAAGATCAAAATGGCATGGCGAATTTGATTGTAGCAACGAATGAAAAATACGCATGATATGACAAACCTTGCTCAAACATGTGGCAGCATGAAGAAATTTTGGCCTCATCTCGTGGACTTCTTCCATTTTTCGATACAGCTGCTTGTATAAAATTTCAGTTCCACTGTTTGACAATCTTTTCGTAACCTCTTGGGTAACTCGCATTAATATAGAGACACAATATAGGCATATTTTGATCTGCGGTTCATCTTCAGTCGAGCACTGCTGTGACAAAACTTCAAAGCTGTTGTAAGCCGTAAATAAACGAAGAAAGTCTTCACCGTCTTTTGTAGATGACACAGTTTTCTGCAGAAAACCTGAAACAATTGAAGTCAATAAAAATTGCACCAAATTTCTTCAAAATATGTAAATTTTTAAAATTGATAGAACATACTTTTAATTAAGGCAGATGCAAATGTAAAAGATACAAGCCGTGAGCAACTTTGGCACATTATAGCCCCACATAAACGACAGTGATGTTTCCTTCGAAGTAGCACCATGCTAAAAGTTTTCCCACATGAGGGGCACAGAGGAACGTCTTCATCTCTAGCCCAACTGACAACTGATTTCTCATAATCTTTTCTACCGTCGATGTTATTGGGATTTTCTACTGCCAGTATTTTTTCAAGTCGCAATAACGTTTTATTGCTTTCAATTGCTTTCGGTCCGACGAAATTAGCTCTTATTTTCTTAAACGCATCGGTATGATTTCTTATGACTAATTTATTGTGAGAATCAGTATTTTGGTTCCAAAATTCGGAGTCATAGATTGCCAAAGAGTTCGTAAGATCTAACACTGGATTGATTGCGTTATGCTGCTCTCGATCTCGGGACTGTCTCGGGATTTTTAAATGTTTGCTATTGAAATGTGCCTCAAGATGACCAACTGAACTTAGCGTTTTCAAACACTCTGGGCAAATGAAACCTTCGAGAGAAGTAGATTCCATCTTAACTAATATCTATGCAAACTTGCAGGCCATAACCGCTTTCTCTTGAGTTTCATAAGAACTAAAATACAATTTGAGTTATAACAGGTCCGCCCGACACATGTTTTCAATTAAACTATTACAAAATAAAACAAGGATAGCCGGTTACTGTGCAAATAGCTCAGAATGTTCCGACCATAGTCTTAACAAAAATATGTGTTTTTTTCAATTAGTGTCATTTTTTGTGTTGAGCAATGAAAAATCTGAAAGAGAAAAGAAAAATTAGGCATCTTCGACAGCCATAGTTGAATAAGCAAATTGAAACAAAAGAAAAAGGCTGAAAAAGTTTGTAGAAAAAACCTAAAAAAACGTTAAAAAAATGGTGAATGTTTTAAAATTTCACAAAACTGTTGCTCACATTTGTACGTTTTTTTGAACGTTTGAAAAACTTGGATTCCCTAAGTGCGCTAAAAACCCCAAAAACTAACTTTGCTCCAGTAAAACTTAAATTGAGCGTAAATTACCTCATAAGCTTAAATTAAGCGTTAATTACCTTAAATTTAGGCTTAAATTAAGCTTAAATGATTTATAAGCTAAATATTAGACCAAAAATTAAAAATTTCTTACCAGGTTTTCTCGACACTAGAAAAATGTGGGAACTTTTTAATGTGGTTTGAATTACAACCAAAATGGCTTTAATGATATATATCACTCAACCCAGTCCGATGATTTGTTGTGTACCTGATTAAGCGTGGAAAAAAAATGAAAAAAACGAAAACACACCGAATAAAAAGTTCCTCCCGATTTTCAATGGTCGGAACAAAAATTACAAATTCTGCGGTAGAAAAAAAGACATGCATTCAACAAGGATAAAACCTGAAATAACAAACTATTTTCTATCCATGAATTCAAAGCCAAACACAGACTCTAAAACTAATTCAAACACAGTCGAAATATAGTCAACCACAAAGTCGAAGCAGAGTTCAAGAAGTAGAACTAAGCAAATCGACACACCAAGAACGCAATCAAACCACGGGACCTCTACCACTTCTCTCTAGATGAGTCTAACTATGATTTCTGCAACACAACTGGGGAAATTTAAAATTCCATACTAGGAGATGCACTGTTGAAACTTGTTCCGAAAGCGAAAATTCAAATCAAGCAGGACAAACTACCATAAAACCACGCAGTCACCGATGAAATATAACAAAAAAGAACAGCTGGGAAGTTTTAAGAAGAGAAATGACAATTTTAAAAATCGATTCCGAGTCAGAACCCAAAGATCAATCGAAAGTATAAAACGCCAACCAAAAAAAAACTGGAACTATAATAACAAGAAACTAAGTCAACTGAGATTATACTTGAGCATGGCAATTTTCGGATGGCAATTGCCAGTTTGTACTCTTGCGGCGATGAAGAGCATCCGCTCACAATGCGTTTGCTAAGGCCCTCGATTACTTCGTAGCTTTTCAGAAGATTATGCCGCATTTCAGTCGCTTCTCCGAATGTGTAATCTGATTCACCCTAAAAACAGATGTGAACTAAATAAATCAGGAGACTACTGAAGCACATTCAACCAACTTAAGAAAATGTTCTTTTCAAATTCGTGACGTTTTTTGGTCGAGGTTTGATGAGAAAACTGTCGAACGCGTATAAATTTAGTGAATTTGGCGTTATCGACAACAGGAAAAAAAACATTGAGAAACGTTTTCCGAGGCAGATGATGGCACAAGAAAATAATAGTTTGTTTTGCTGATGAGGCAAAGTTTGACAGACACAATGAACCCACAAACTCACATTCGACCAAATACTACATAGTGACGGAGCGTAGAAAAAGCACCTATTCACGACTGGCCGGCGTCAGTTACTTAAATTCTACCCGTTTTTCACTGTAAGGCTACCATCTTGTGTAAGTCTTTTCTGTAAGGCTTCCATCTTGTGTAAATCAGAAATAGCAGGATACCAAAGTGACGGGTTGTATAATAGGATACTCTTTACACAGGCCACGTAGATGTTGAACTTAGTTTTAACGGGGGCACTAAAAGATACATTACGCTTGACAAAAAATAGGCCGCGGTTACAATTAGCAAGTTTGTTGTTAATATGATTAGACCAAGAAAGATTCGTTGAAAAATAAACAACCAAATCTTTGATAGTTGAAACTTTATCAATTGGCAATACGCCTAGATACAAATTTACATTATTTTCAAAAATACTGAAATGCTTTGTTTTACTGGGGTGCAAATGTAGATGATTATCATTCATCCAATTACAAAGTTTTTTTACATCGAATTGAAGAAGATTTGCATATTTACATAATAGTTTACAGTCATCTGCAAACAGAAAACAACTAGAGTGAGCAAAACAATTGGGTTAACCATTAATTAAATCAAGAAAAGTAAGGGCCCTAAGACACTACCTTGGGGAACCCCACTATTAAAAGGCGCAGAGACAGACAAGCTCCTGTTAATCTTTACCTGTTGAGTGCGACAGCCAAGATACGAACTAACAATAGCTAAAAAAAATAACATCAAAACCAATACGTTGTAATTTAGATAGTATTGTTTTGTGACAAACTGTATCGAAAGCTTTTTGTACGTCGAAATAGCATGCATATCGTCATTCGCATCAAAACCTTTGTATGATTGATCAACATATTGCAAAAGTTGAATAGTTGTACCTCTACCAGATCTAAACCCAAAGTGTTTACTCGACAGAAAAGGGCAAACACGTTCAAAAAAGTGATTAAATAAAATTCGTTCAAGGATAATTGAAATGCGCGGGAGCATACTAATACCCCGATAATTTTTCACTTAGGCTAAGTAAAAGTTACCACTTTTAGGCCATCAGTCCAACGAATTTCGATCAGCTTTGGTTACATGCGAAGATAACCACATAGCTGGGTCTCGGATCCCCAGACTACATGAGTACCATTTAAAACACGGCTTGAATATCCTATTTTACTATGTTTTTAGTGACAATTATAAACTAAACCCATTGGAGATGGATTGACCCTTTCCTGTTTCTAGCCACTCATGCTCCAAAATACTAAACAATACTGGAGTTAAATCAATTGTTCAGGGCAATAGAGTGGCTAAAAAGTCAGTTATATATTCTCTAAGCATGTAATAGTCTCTGGGCACCACGCCTTCAATTCCACTCTCCCTCAGAGATAACACCCTTATCTCTTTAATCCTGCGGTACGGGAGGGTACTGATCAGCTCCGGATGTCCCACTGAACCTTTCTTTCGTATGTTCTTTTTCGAATAAGCGTCTTATTGTGACATGTTATCACGATAAGAGACTTCGTTGTTCTCTGTCGATTTTCAACTGTTTTCCGTATGCTCTCATTCGATTGTGTAAATTGGTCGCTCTTCTTATATTGTGAGAAGTGTTCCATCTCAATTCGAATTTTTAAAAATTGAAATTCTAATGGCACATACTCTCCGGGCAGTCCACTTCAATGCCCCTATTGAAAGCATAACTCCGGGTTATCTTCATGAGGCGATGCAGCTTTCTATAATCAACTTACAAATTGCATTAGAAAATGAAATTTTATCTACGTCACATCAACTCACCGTATGTCATAAAAGGAATCGTACTATATTGCACTGCTTCTTAATATTTTCACAAAATTTGTACTATGAGGTGTTTCTTAGATAAAATTTCTTTTCTGACTTTTTACGTCAATTCTCCATAAAGTTTTTTCTCCCTCTCGCTGATTTCAAAAAGGTTTGGGACGTGGCATGGCCACGCACCCGTTGAAATTAACTTAACGTCACTAACAAAGTATAATGATTCAATTATGCTGTCGCCCTCGATATTAAAATTAGGAAACTCTGTGGCTAGGAAAGGTAATGAGGTACTCACCCTCCTCGAGCGAGCGTACCCAAACCCTACCAGGTCGCCACAAAAGGAAAATGTGTCCTACACAGGTTAAAAACTTCAGTCAGGTTTAAATAGATAAATATACTCATCTAAGGCCTATATATATATATTTTTATATATATTTATATATATATATATATATATATATATATATATATATATATAATCGTCAACTAGAATTATTCATTGTAATTAAACAATTTGAACAACAATTGTAACAATTCCAAGTCTGGTTTGACCAAACTGCATCAAAATAAAAAATAAAAGTTGCATTAATCAATCTTGGTTGATTAATTTAAGTTTTCACGCACTACAACGACAAAGTTTTCTATCTCTTCATTCTTGAATCTTCATCTTCACCTTCAATCTTCACTCCATTGCTTCCGGTTCCTGCTCTCCAATCTCACTGTATTCCCCGACTTTTTGAAGCAAGTCCACAGAGTTACGGGCCGTGCCCCAACTTTCTTGCTCCAGCATTCTTTGTTTGCAGCAGGGCAAGATCCACGTTCACTTTCTGCTCTCGATTCCTGGAGAAGCTGTTATGCAGACACAGGCTCAACTTTCGCTCTAGGTCAGGTTGTAAGACCTCTTTCTTCTCTTGTTCTGGGGTACGAGACAGCCCAGCTACTCTTTTCACTGTTGTAGTCACAGCATTCCTATGTGTCAGGAAGGCTTTTTTATAGGCTTCCGGTGATATGTCTAGCTGGAAGGATTGATAGGCTTGCGTGTTTCGGGACATATGACTCTTCGTGGGTTCGTACACCCAAATTGTCATCACTCCACGGAACCAAGGCATCAATCCCTGTCTTGCCAATATTCTTTCTATCGGCTTCGGTATTCTCAGAACTTTACAAGTAGTTCTGAACTGATCCAGTCACTTACTCAGTTACGCTCACTCTGCTCAGTTGCTTTGGAGTTGGCACAGCCATCTCCTGTTTGGTCATTCCTGGTCGTTACTGCTTTTGCGTTCCAGGAAAATCTTCTCCCAATATCTCCTCTTTTTCATACATAGACCTCTCCTGGACTGCCCGAAAGATCTTTGTCAGTAGCTCATGGGATTTCTCAGACATTCTCGACAGTCTCACGCATCAATTAGTCTATGTTGCGTTTTGGCATCTATAACCACAAGGTGCGTTGGGTATTTACTATTGCAATATGGTGCCATACTAGATCCCACCAGAACCTTTGAGC